GATATATATATATATCGTCAGACATAACATTTCCTGATTGTACACATCCCTATCACCCAGATATATACGTTGTTGTCCCTTTTGTGCCCAAGGACGCTATCAGATATATACGTTGCTGCATGATGCCGCCGCACTGTGATGAACGTCCTGCTGTTCTTTTTTCTGACACATGTGGACAACATCATGATGTCCTCTGTCAGGACTGTTTTGATGGGATGGGATGGTTCGTGCTAGCCGTCCTGCTGAATGCTGTGCTGGCGCAGCCCTCCTTGGGTATCCTTGTGAACATCCACATCATCCTCACCGTAGCTTTCCTATCTGCCGAGGTGGGGACAGTTAAAACAAACAAACAAACAAACAAACAAACAAACAGAAAAAGAAAAGAGAAAAAAGAAAATAAGAAAAAGAAAAAAAAAATGTTGATCTATGGGATGTGTTATTTGCTTTGTGACAATTGGATTATCTGTGGGATGTGGCATTTGCTTTGTTTGACTGATAGGCTTTCTTTCCCTGTCAGCTCTGCTTTCCTCCTCCTCCTTTTCTTTACCTCTTTTTTGCCTTTTGGCTGCGTGCGTGCAAGTGGGTCCTTGTGACACACGGGGATGGGGGCAGCCAGCGTTCAACCTGTCATCCACGTGGCTGGCCTTGTACGGAAGAGGTGATGAACACGTGTCGCTTTCTGTCCTTCCTTCTTTTCCTTTTCTTGTTTTGTCTTTTTCCGCCTTTCCGCTCCGATACACCGTGTGACAATATATATCGTCAAACAGAGCTGCCCGGTAAACCGTAGGCAGAGAGGGAGAAGAGGACAACAAACAAGGGGCTGCAACAAACTGTTTCGTCGGTCCGGGAGTGTCTTTCACCGACTCATCATATATAACAGTTTGTCACAGCCTCTCTTCGTTTGTTTTCCTCTTCTCCCTCTCTGCCTACGGTTTACCCGCCATCTCTCTTTGACCCTATCTATCTTATCTATCTATCTATCTATCTATCTATCTTTTATTTTTTTATTTTTATTTTTTTTTGGACCGGCCGGGCAAGTGGTCCCGCGGCGCCACTCTGGTAGCCTAGGTTACCATACCCTCAGTGGAGAAGACCATGTGCCATGTCTCTCCCGGTGCGTCATCTCCGACAATCTTGGTGTTGAGCAAGCAACGGCCGATGTATGGAGTCTTGGGCTTGAACAAGTTGATGGAGACCCCCTCGTCATCCTTCTTCGACTCCTTCACTACCTTGGGGGCAGCGACCGCCTCCGCCTTCACGCTGACAACGCCATTCTTCTTCACAGCAACGCTCGCGGAGGTGGTTCGCACATCAACGACGCTGGAGAATGTGCTGCTGCCATTGAAGTACCCGATCTGACCACAGAGTACATCAACAAAAATATCAAGATATATATCACAGAAAGAAAAGATAAGAGGACAACAATTCATGGGGAAGAAGTCCGAAGAAGGAAGCAGCAAGGTACCAATTATTGTGAAGATTGCGAACAATCGAGAAAAGCGAGCCCACAAAAAAAAAAAAAAAAAAAAAAAAAAAAAAAAAAAAAAAAAAAAAA